TTAAAGACATATTACTGAATAGAACTGACTACCCTGGATCTGACACAAACCATTCTCAGACAAACACAATTACAACTACAAGAAGACCACAAACTTCACCACAAATCCAATACAACAACAATACAGTCAACCGAAAAACAGGGTCACAAATATCGCAAGAATGGAGAAGGTGGACACCAAGATGACCACAGAGCAGAGAAATGGAGGAGATAATGACCCTCCCCAGCACATTATGCAATAAATTAATATGACTTCACTCAAAAAGCAAAAACATTATGACAACCACCCATAATCTGGTTTTGGCCCAGGAAATGTATTAATTTCAAAGTATATAACTGCAAAATGACATCATTAGCAATCAGTAGCTGGAACATCCAAGGTCTGAATGTTTCAGCCTTCGGATCCAAAGTAAACGATCCACATTTCAAGCAATGAAAACATGAGACTGACATACAAATGCTCCTGGAAACATGGACCCAGGCACAAGATGAACCACTAGCACCTACTGGCTATAGGGCATTCTCTGTCCCCGCACAGAAGGATAGAAACATCAAACAGGGTCAATGTTCAGGATAAGGAGGTATAAGGAGGATCTACATGAAAAGATCAGTGTAATCAAAAAAGGAGAGAGCCACATCTGGCTAAAAATAAGCAACTCCATCCTCACCTCTCAGTCTGACATCAACCTGTGAGCAGCATTCATTGCCCCACCAGAGTCCCCATATTTCAGACACCTATAAGGTTTTACAAAATGAGGTCAACCACTTCCAATCCCTAGGACAAGTGCTCATCCTTGGAGACCTCATTGCTGGAACAGGAATGGAAAAGAAATATATAAGTTCTGATGGCAACACGTGCATACTGGGCCCTGCAAGTTACTGTCACAAATTGATACAGATACAAAGAAACAGCTATGACAGCACAATCAACAAAAATGGAAGAAAACTGCAGAATCTATGTCACAGTCTGGGGCTTTACATCTTTTCTACGACGGCCGCACTACAGGAGACTCTCTGAGAAGATACACATTAAACTCCCATGTAGGCAGCAGTGTGGTGGACTATGCCATTACAGACATGAACCCTGCACTAATCAATGCCTTTACAGTCACTCCACAAACACACCTATCAGACCACAACCAACTACTGCTATATATTAAATCATCAAACAAGCCATCTCCAAAACTGCATCGGACTTCTCTCTGCAAACTGCCACCATCATTTAAGTGGTCCAAAGAGTCTACCACAAAATACAGAGAGGTAAATGACAGACCTGACATGAAGAAACAGCTTGAAACCTTCCAAAACAATGCCTATGAGGTAAGTCCAGGATGTGTGAACCAGGCAGCAAAGGACTTTCACAAAATATTACACACCATTGCAGAAAAAGTCCAGCTAAGAAAAGTGAACCACATGAAACCATTCAACAAACAATCCAATAAATGGTTTGACAAAAGAATGCAAAGCATTGAGGAACACCTTATGGACACTCTCAAATAAAAAACACAGAGACTCCAACGACACTGACCTAAGGATAGCCCATTGCACCCTTCAGAAAAAATACAAACAAACTGTTAAGAAAAAACAAAAAACTTCATCTCCAACAACCTGCGACAGTTATAAGAAGCACTTCAGGAAAACTCTTTCTGGGAGATATGGAAGAATATTGGCTCAGCATCCAGGAAAAATAACCTCCACATCTAAAATGGCAAAATGTGGCTCAACCACTTTAAGAACCTCTACAAAAATATTCCAGAAGAGGCGCTAACTGTGGAACAAAAAGACATCATCAAAATACTAAATGATATGGAGGAAATAATCAAGGACTTTCAAAGACCACTGGATGTGTCGATTACACTACAGTAAATAATGGAGAAAATTCAACATCTGCAAACTAAAAAAGCCAGTGGAATGGATGGAATCCTGCCAGAGATTATTAAACATGGCTCCCCAGATATACATTCTGCAATATGCTAAATTTTCAATCTTGTCCTGAGTGCTGGTTACTAATCTCAAGTTTGGAACCAAGGCCTCATAACACCCATCCATAAGAGTGGAGATCAGTATGATCCAGCCAACTACAGAGGAATATGTGACAGCAGCACACTGGCTGGGGGAAACTATTCAACAGTATCCTCAACAAAAAGATACTCAACATCCTGCCGCAACACATTGTCTTCAGAAGAAGTCAGGTGGGGTACATGTCAAACTGCCACACTACAGACCACATCTACACTCTGAACAGTCTCATCAAGAACCATGTCCACAATACAAAACATGGAAAGATATTCGCCTGTTTTGTGTGGACTTTAAGGCCTTTAACTCAGTGTGGCATCCAGGCCTGTTCCTAAAACTATTGGAGAGTGTAATAAGAGGGAAAACATATGATGTTATCAAGAGTTCATATACCGAGAACAGCTGCAGCATAAAAGTGATGGGAAAAGAACAGACACTTCGCCAGGAGTCAGGCAGGGCTGCAGCTTAAGTCCAACCCTCTTCAACATCTACATCAATGTACTGGCTGCAGCTCTAGAATCCTCCCCAGCACCTGTGCTGACTCTACGTGACACTGAGGTGAACATCCTGCTGTATGTGGATGATCTCCTACTACTGTCTCCAACAGAGAAAGGCCTATAAGACAGCCTGGAAGTGCTGGAGAAATACAGTTCCACATGGGCACTACCTATCAATTGAAAGAAAAAAAAATCATGGTGTTCCAAAGGAAGAACACAAAACAAACTAAGAGCCCTTCCTTTACATGAAACAACTGCACTCTTGATGAATCCCACAGCTACACATACCAATTAACCAATCAGGAATTTTCAAGCCAGCTATTGAGGCCCTGAAAGACAAGGCATGCAGAGCATTCTACACCATCAGGACACAGCTGTACAACCTAAAAAACACCGGTAAGAGTCTGTCTTAGAATCTTTAATAGCGTTATCACCTCAATCCTTCTTTATGGCAGTGAAGTTTGGGTCCTGTCACCTACCCAGACCAATCCAAATGGGACTCCAGCCCAGCCCACCAGAAATATTTCATCTGGAATTCTGCAAGCACCTCCTCCAAGTCCATTGGAGCACCTCCAACATTGCTTGTTGTTCTGAGCTGGGCAGATTTCCCTTGCTTCACGCAATACAGAAGAGGGCGCTATCATACTGGGGCCATCTACAAAACAGCAGTCTTAACTCTTACATTCATCATGAGGCCCTGCTGACCAATAAGGACCAGTCAAAGCCACATGGCCTGCAACAACTCTTCAGCGCCTTGTCCATAAAATTCCCAATAATCTGGTTTGACTAAATCTCAAATAAAAAACATACTGAATGACTCCCAAGAATAATATGTTAGGAAATGGAGAAAAGAAATATCAAACTCCAAGAAACTAACTGTTTACCAATCAGCGCAGAGAGACTACAAACTGGCCCTGTACCTGGAGGCGCTACAAGACCCCAAAGACAGACAGACCTTGAGCCAGTACAGACTGAGTGCCCACAGCCTGAAAATTAAATCAGGATGGCACAGGCAGACCTACAAACCCGGGGAGGACAGACTGTGTGCCAGCAATGTGACCAGGGTGGTCCTGGAGTATGAGGACCACTTCCTACTACAGTGCCCCAAGTACTCATCAGTGAGGGACACTCACTTCCAGAGACTCTCCACTCTCATCCCGCACTTCACTTCTATAGAAAAGAGGAGGAAACTCCAAATTCTACTTGGAGAAGAGAAGCCTATGGTGGAAATAGCTGCACAATTTGTGACAGCATGCCACAGACCGAGAGGGACATGAAAAACTGAGGACTTAAATATCCTTTACATGGACCCTTCCCCCTATCCATCATTATATTACCCCTCCTCCGCCTTTTCCCATACAAACTGCTTTGGCAATGCTAAAATGTTATTTTGTCCTCTTTTGAATAGGAGAGAAAAAAAATGGAGAGAAATGGAGACAGAGAGAAGGGGGAGAGAGAGAGATGAGAGAGAGAAATATGAGAAGAGAGAATGGAGAGAGACAGATGGAAAGAGAGAGAGATGGATGAGAGATAACCAGGAAAGAGAGAAATGGGGATTGAGAAATAGGAGAGAGAGAGAGAAGAAGAGAGGAAAAGGAAAGATAAATAGGAGAGATCTGATATGTAGAGAGGAATCCCATATATGCTGTAAAGAGAGCGTTATCTACTTAGATATATCTGATATACAGAGTGCTTAAGAGAAAGGGTGCTATTCGGTCATGCCTGTGTGTCCTCTCCATGGTCTCCAGCCCCACTGCCGCCATAATCCAATTAGCAGAGCAGGGGGCAGGAGGAGCTGGATATCTGCACAGAGAGCAGTGGTCTTTTCATATTCACAAGCAGGTAATCATCCGCTTGTTAATTTGTTCCAGATCTCTGCCCTGCCGAAGGTAGGACTGTGCAGGTGATGCAGAGAGTAAAAGGGGGCACTGTGATTAAACAGAAAAGAGGGGGGGCATGACTGCAACGGGCACTATGATGGGGGGACTGTGCTTGCTAGGGGCACTGTGATATAATGGGGACTGCACTGTAATCATTACAGTGCCCTTTTACATTATAGTGCGGAGGACATACTCCATGGATATCCCATCACCAACCACCCCTGCAAATGCCTGCACCCGGGCTGGTCTGGACTGTCCAGTGCCACAAATACCCAGGCTCCATGATGTTGATGGCCACACTTGGCCTAGGATTAGCATAACTGTCTAGCAGCAGTGACTAGTTCACACTCTAGGTTGAGTGTACCTTACAGGATACTACAGAGTTAGATGAGCCCATACTTCTTAATACCTGGGCAGGTAAGGCAGTGTGACTATATCAACAGTATGTAAATGCCATCTGTTTTAATGGTGAGTGATGGGGTGAAAGTAAGAAAGATATTCATGACTAAACTGACACTTAAATGGTGTATCTTGTATCATACTTTTAAAAAGTAAACAAAAGACCTGTAAACTACTCACGTATCTAATAAATTAGAGTGTTACTAAATCCAGGACCCTGCATTCACTATATCTGGTCTCCTACAGTACACAAACATGGAAGTGCAATTATGTTAAAAAATATAAACTGCTAAATATATTTTCTCATCAGCAGTTAGAGCAGTCTTTTGGCTTCTATCAGTGTCCAGCAGAGCACTGGTTAAAGCTTGTAGGAGGAGTTTTCATTTTGCTCTAGGAGGATGCAGAACCCCTGACCTTTGACTTGCACAGGATTAACCTCTTAGGTTCCACAGTGAGTATAACAAGCATGATTTACTGCATATACAGACTGATTTTACTGTTGTGGGTTTAGTGACACTTTAACTAACCCATACAAAGCTTGCCTTCATATTGGACTGAAAATGATGTCTTCAAGCAAAGCACAAGGCCATTTACAACTACGACCTTCAACTATTACAGCTGTTCTATATTAAGGTAATTTATCTATATGTTAACTTACACAAAAGTCTCTTGTAAAAGCATATAGAGAATGTAAAGGTACAGTACTCAATGGCTTTAACAACTGCTCAGGAGGTTTGTTGGCATTCATTTCATATGTTTGCATTTGTTATCCAGTGCTTTCATTCCAAGTTACCACAGAGAGAAATATATATAAACTTAACGTATGCATTTCTATCTTGTATTATATATAACTTGTACAGTATGTGACTTGGATTCTATTTACTTTAAATGATAACATTACTATTAACATGGAACAGGAACTGATAACAGATGTGTATAAGAAAATACAGGATCACCACAGATGGCCAAAAATGGTTTAACATGCTTTATTTTTGCTGCAGCTAGGGCTATTATACCCAGACATTGGAAATCTAATGTCATGCCTAGTATTAAAGAATGGCTGTCTGATTTAAATTATATTATGCATATGGAGGAACTGACAGAGAGCCTACAGGAGAAAAACTTGAAATTACAACCAAATAGGCTTGGAAGGATTTTTGTACTTTGAATATTTTGAGAGTTTACCTGTGACCTAGCTTTTCACCATATTTGAACATGGGGAACTGAGACGGAAAGTCCGTCGGGCACTTTGCACTTTTTCTTCTTCTTTTTTTCTGTTTGTCTCTTCTCTCCCTCCTTTTTAGTGTCTGCTAGCTACTTTAATAGGTTATGGTCTGGAGATGCAAAGGTCTATGCCCCCAATATAAATTTGAATGGCAAATACCCTTAAACTGTGTTTTTGAGTTTGTTTATAAAATTAAGAGAATTTTTGGTGTTAGATCTTTTCATGTAATTAAATGTATTATGAAAAAATGGTATCTATAAATATTTGAAACCCCCTCCCCCCCCAAAAAAAAAATACAGTTGTACAGCTTATACTATTATTACTACAATGTTTGCTTACACTAATAAAAATAATTTATACATAAAAGTATCATACATTTATATCAATAACTTCCAAATGAAAGACCAAACTCAAATGTTCTTATATACCATAAACACCGACACATGACCTATAGTGCCAGTTCAGGCAGGACCCAATCAATCTACCTGAATTTATCTGGATAAAAAGTGACACACATGGAGGAAACCCATGCAAACAACAGTATACCACAGGGGAGGACTGACCATTTGGAAAACTGGCACTGCCCAAGGGCCTGGGGTCAGTAGGGGGCCCCATGAGATGCCGCTGGTACCTTTTTCATAGGCTTTTTTGAGTTTGGGCAAGGACACAGGGGCCCCATGATCCCCTATTGCCCGGGGGCCCCATGAGTTGTCAGTCCACCCCTGGTATACCATAAACACTCCAAGCAGATACAGCCCTTACATGATGTAACATTAACTCAAATCCTAATTTACAACTGTGATCAGGGCCTAGAAGGCTGCGCATAATATTTAATGACCTGTATTAAAAAAAACTCAGAGAATGTAGAAAGAATACTGACATGCAGGGGTGGACTGACAACTCATGGGGCCCCCGGGCAATAGGGGATCATGGGGCCCCTGTGTCCTTGCTTCAAACTCAAAAAAGCCTATGAAAAAAGTACCAGGGGCATCTCATGGGGCCCCCAACTGACCCCGGGCCCTTGTTTCCAAATGGTCAGTCCGCCCCTGCTGACATTATTATTATTTTATTATTATACAGTATTTATAAAGCGCCAATAGTTCACTCAGCGCTGTACATTACAAAGGGGGACAGAACATGTGACAGAACAATACCAATACAATGCAAAACATGAGGGGATCGAGGGCCCTGATCTTTCGAGCTTACAATCTAGAAGGGATGGGATAGTGGTACAGGAGGAGATAGCTGTGGGGGATGGAGTGGTAGGAAGAGTGTAGGAGGTCAGCAAGTTAGCAGGGGGTGAGGTAGGCTTCCCTGAAGAGATGGGTTTTCAGGGTGCGCCTAAAGGAGGGGAGAGTAGGTGATAATCTGATGGGTTGGGGCAGGGAGTTCCAGTGGGTGACACCCTGGAGAAGTCCTGGAGGCGGGCATGGGAGGAGGAGACCAGGGAACTAGAGAGAAGGAGGTCTTGTGAGGAGCTGAGTGTGCGTGCTGGGCGGTACTTGGATATTAGGTCAGTGATGTAGTTCGGGGCAGTATGGTGGACAGCTTTGTACATCAGTGTTAGGATTTTAAATTTGATCCGTTGCGCAATCGGAAGCCAGTGGAGGGATTGGCAGAGGGGGGTGGCGGAAATGGAGCGTTGGAAAGGTGAATGAGTCTGGCAGCCGTATTCAGGATCGACTGAAGCGGGGATAGCCAGCGGCGAGGCAGGCCAGTGAGGAGGGAGTTGCAGTAGTCGAGTCGTGATATGATGAGGGAGTGGATGAGCTGTTTAGTGGTTTCTGGGGTTAGGAACGTGCGGATTTTGGCGATGTGGCAAAAACATGGCGACATGGCATGAAGAGTGTGAGCCCATCAGCATGCAACATAACACTTAATCATTTTTGGTAGAATGTTCCTTTTGTGATCCTGTGGCTTGATACATTTATAGGTCTTCATCCTGAACCATTTTTCTTCCAGAACATCTAACCAGCGCTATGATGAACCATGGCAGACACCAGAAACAAAACCTGCCTCTGGCCTACTGCACCGTTACCACAGCTAGCTATCTGTCTCTTCTTTCTCTAAAGGCCAAATTCCCTTTTTCAAAGACAGAAATAGCACATGCATGGATAGTGCTTAATATACAGGCATAGTCCTTGGCTGACGCTCATAACACTCTGCTTCTCTGTAAAACTATTATGACATAAACTGAGTGTGACCGGTTACATGTGTAATTATCACAACTAATATATCTCTCTAAAATATATTTTATGGTTTGATAGTTTGCTCTGCTAGCGCATTATATGTGGCAGTTGCCTAAGCGACTACAATCCATGCTATAGTAGAGACAACTATGGTCAACCATGGACAACACTAACACACTGTATCCTGCAACAGTACAATGGTGCAATAGTTGGTTTTCGGGAGGAGAATAAAGGAAAATACCATTTGGGGGACAGTTGTGATCTGGTTGTTGAAGGGGCTATAGAGAACTCTACAAGAAACTGCCTATATGGAACTACTTACGACTATGCAAGAAGTTACTCATGAAGAACCAAAACTTCCACTGAAAAACTGAAAGTTGCCCATGAAGAATTAAGACCAGCCATTGACATCACACACTGAAATCAGAGATAGTATTTAGGTCCTTGATGCCCTTGTGTTTCATAGCTTTCTATTTTGTGAAGGCAGTTTCCTTTATTCTTTGATTTTGTAATGAACTGTTTGTTTAAACTATAGCAAAAAGATTGCCATCTACTGTGTTCAGTGACAGTTTTTACAGAAGGATTAAACTTTTTTTGATGGACCAAGGCGCCATTAGGAATAAAGTGCTGATGCTTGTGGCTTTTATGCACTGAAAGACTTTGTCATCTGACAGGTCACATTATTCACAGTGAGAGTTGTTTCTAAGGTGACCCTGCTAGTAGCTGCCCACTGCCATTTACATGTCACTGGGGTAATGTTAATATTATTTAAAGAAATGTGAAAAAGCATTTTCTTTTTTTAATAATTTGTGGGTCTGATCTATGCATGGACTTTTTTCATATGTCAGCCTCTTTACTCAATTAGCATCTCTTAGTTCAGAATTGATTTTCTATATTTATTCACTGTCAGCTATTTAAACATGTTAAAGTGATTAAGTTCAAAGGAAGCTGTAGCAGTTTGGGGTTCCTAAGGAGTTCCCTCTTTCACAAATGCTGGGCTTGAATAAGAGCAGCAGTAAAGAATTATATTTCATAGTTAATCTGTATATTTTGACTTTGAGGCTGAAGTGGCAAAATATATTTTTGGCTAGTGATGGTGATGCTGGTCCAAGCAAAAAACCCAAATTAAAAAAGGAAGCTTGTTCCAAATCAACAGAAAGCTGTGGAATGTAAGAACCCATATCGGAGAAATTCATTTACCCAGGCAGATATTCATGCAGTAACCTAGATGGGAGGTGGGGGTGGAACAAATCAGGCTAATGATTTGCAAAGCACATTTGCTTCTGTCTACATTTAACATCCAGAAAACTTTGTCATCAGGAAAGTGTTACTAAACCCACAATAGTAAAATCAGTCTGTATATGCAGTAAAGCATGCTTGTTATACGCACGGTGGAACCTAAGGGGTTAATCCTCTACATTGTGTAAAAAGGTTGTTTGATCCTGTCTTCTCTGATCATCCCCTTCTTTTTCTGTCCCCAATCCTTCTGACATAGTTAGAGCAGGAGTGGCAAGTCTGCACATGCTCAGGCTGGTGTGTATTGTTAGAGAGTGTTTTCTGGGAGGGTGCATATGATCCACACAGGGCCAATCAGCACTGTCCAGACAGAGGTTCAGGGGTTATGCAGCCTCATACAGTCAGAGGGGAATGAAACCTACTGCTACAAGATTAGCCAGTGCTCAGCTGGACACTGATACAAGTCATAAGACTGCTATATGCATGCATTTCAAGGATTAAAGTGTTAATAAACCCAGAACCCTGCATTCACTTTATCTGGTCCCCCACAGTACAGTGAACATGGAAATGCAATTATTTTAGTAAATATAAACGGCTAAATACCTTTTCTAATCAGCAGCTATAGCAGTCTTGTAACATATATCTGTGTCTAGCCCACCACCAGCTAAAGCTTGTAGGAGTTTTCTTTCTGCTCTAGAAGGATTAAAATCCCTGACCTCTGTCTGGCCAGTGCTGATTGGCCCTGTGCTGATCACATGCACTCTCCCCCCCAAAAAAAAAAAATTCTCTAGAAATACACACCAAACTGAGCATGTGCATGCCTATGGTTCAGTCTGGAGATAAGAGGTGGTAGCGTGAAAAAAGGTAGGAGCAGAGATGAAAGGATCAAACAGCCTTTTTTTTACACAATGCAGAGGATTAACCCCTTAGGTTTCACAGTGAGTATAACAAACATACTTTACGGCATATACAGACTGATTTTACTGTTGTGGGTTTAGTAACACTTTAAGGTAAAAACCTTCACTGTGGAGCTTACCCAGCTCTCCCTTATGCTTACCTGAGCCCAATCTCAATCCAGCACTGAGCACGACAGCAGCAGCTCTCTTGGCTCTCTCTCTCACTAGACAGACAGGCAGCAGCAGGAGTGAGAAATGAGAAGGAGGTATCTTGCTATGGGGGAACTTGGCAAGAGGGAGGAGCCAGGAACATGGGCGGGGCAGGGGCGGACTGACAACTCATGGGGCCCCCGGGCAATAGGGCATCATGGGGCCCCTGTGTCCTTGCCCAAACTCAAAAAAGCCAACAAAAAAGGTACCAGGGGCATCTCATGGGGCCCCCTACTGACCCCGGGCCCTCGGGCAGTGCCCGAGTTTCCAAATGATCAGTCCACCCCTGGGTGGGGGACCCCAGCAGAGGAGGATCAGAGCAGCTCATTTTAAAGTAATGTTGCCATGAAGTTTACAATAGACATAATTTTAGATGCTTCCCCACTGCCCTATAGCAGAACTACTGCTACAGGGCTGCAGGGCTGCGCAAAATCATGTATATATATATATATATATATATATATATATATATATATATACGTGATTTCGCATCTCCGGGTAGGGGGCGCACGTGAACAGCAGAGCAATACAAAGCAGCTTGTCTCCCTAGTAAAACACACAAAGCACAGAGTTAACCCTTTGATCACCACAGATGTTAACCTCTTCCTGCCCAGTGTCATTAGTATAGTGTCAGTCCTTTTTTTTTAGCACTGATCACTGTATTAGTGTCACTGGGATTTCAGTGGCAGTGTCAAAATGCCCTCTGCAGTCCCGCAATCCCGCTATAAGTTACTGATCGCCATTACTAGTATAACATTTAAAAAAAAAAAATTCCAGTATCTATACCGACATTTCTAGACACTATAACTTTCACGTAAACCAATTAATTTACATGTATTAGGATTTTTTTTTTTTTTAGCAAAGGCATGTAGCAGAATATATTTTGACCTAAATTTAAGACGAAGTCTGATTTTTTAAATTTTTTTACTGGATGTTTTATAGTAAAAAGTCAAAAATATACCTTTTTTTAAAAGTGTCAGTCGTTTTTTTGTTTATAGCGCAAAAAATAAAAAACGCAGAGGTGATCAAATACCACCAAAAGAAAGTTCTATTTTTGGAAAAAAAAAGGACATAAATTGCATTTGGGTGCAGCATTACATGACCACGCAATTGTCAGTTAAAGTAACGCAGCGCTGTATCACAAAAAATGGCCTGGTCAGAAAGGGGGGTAAATCTTCTGGGGGGCAAGTGGTTAATAAAAAGGAAGCTCCAAACAAATGTAAACTTTTTTAGTTTAAAAGTTCCTTCTCATTTTTTAGTGTAACCTACATCCTGAATAGTTATCTTCAGTCCATCACAAGAGATCTCTACTGTGTGACCCTGTCTTGAAACTATTACATGATTTAGAGAGGTTAAGGGTTTTACCTTCGGCAAAGTCCCAGAAATGCAAAGGTTCAAACCAGGGGCGGACTGACCATTCGAACACTCGGGCAATGCCCGAGGGCCCGGGGTCAGTAGGGGGCCCCATGAGATGCCCCTGGTTCCTTTCACTGGCTTTTTCATAGGCTTTTTTGGGTGTTGGTATGGACACAGGGGCCCCATGATCCCCTATTGCCCGGGGGCCACATGAGTTGTCAGTCTGCCCCTGGTTCAAACCTAGGTACAGAAAACTTACTTTTGACTCCATTTTGAGAATTTTCCTCTCTATTAGTGTTAGCTGACGCCTGTAAAAATCTAGATTTACCTTCACTTAGGGAGGATATACAGGGGCGTATTTACCACAAGGCAAACAAGGCATTTGCTTAGGGCAGCATTTTTCAGGGGGGCAGCGCTACACCCCAAAAGAAGGAACACACACCGCATGGGGACCAGGTGGGATTCAAGAGAGCCTGCGGGCTGTTTGATGGTGTATGCAGATCCCGACTCTCGTTCCCGTGGATGTCTGGTGCTGTGAAGGTGAGTGTCTGTGAGTTTCTTTCTCTCTCTTGCCAGGGGTCTTTTGGGTCTTTTGGTGTTGCTGAGCTCACCGGTGCGTTCCTTCTTTTTAAGAATGTTCCAAATAGTTGTTTTGGCCACGCCTAATGTTTCTGCTATCTCGCTGATGGGTTTGTTTTGTTTTTTTCAGCCTAATGATGGCTGACTTCACTGATAGTGACAGCTCTTTGGATCTCATCTTGAGAGTTGACAGCAACAGATTCCAAATGCAAATAGCACACTTGAAATGAACTTGGACCTTTTCTGCTCATTGTAATTGGGATAATGAGGGAATAACACACACCTGGCCATGGAACAGCTGAGAAGCCAATTGTCTCATTACTTTTTGTCCCTTAACAAGCGGGAGGCACATATGCAAACTGTTGTAATTCCTACACCGTTCACCTGATTTGGATGTAAATACCCTCAAATTAAAGCTGACAGTCTGCAGTTAAAGCACATCTTGTTCGTTTCATTTCAAATCCATTGTGGTGGTGTATAGAGCCAAAAATGTTAGAATTGTGTCCATGTCCCAATATTTATGGAGCTGACTGTACATGGGTGATCTGTGCCTATTTTTGCCCCACAGGCGACCATTTAATGAACAATGCACATGCAGTTGAATGCAATAGTGATTGGTCATTTAAATTTCAAGCCCTATGCTACTATTAGTGATTAATCACTACTACATGCTACACTCCATTGTTCCCTGGGTGTAGTCCAAACCTAGAAATTAATTGCAGGGTAATCATGGCCAATGATTTCTGTAGCAAAAATTTCCCATGTGCACTTGCCCTTAATGTGCTGTTGATATAAGTCACCAGAACGAAAAAAAAAGTGAACCTTCTCTTTGGGGACATAGACAACAACAACAAAAACCTGACAGGGGTTCTAACCATTCTTTACTCAGTGTAAAACAAGAAAAAAGTTCTACTTATAAGATCTATTTTTGAGTAAGTACTTTCAGATCAAAGAAGTCACTGTGCCTAGGCTCAGAAGTACATGCTGGGAAAATGCTGTCAGTTTTTTGCATGCATGAGCAGGCATTTTCTCAGTCTTATCTCCCTTGGTGATTACTCTAACATTGCAACATTGTAGCAATTTACAAGGTGAGAGGCAGCAGCAGGGGGCTGTGTCAAATATATAAACACATGGCTCAAAGTAAAAAAGCTACTGCACGGGCACCAGAGTTTTAATGGATTTGCCATTTAGGGGAAGACTTTTAATCCAGGAAGTACAGCAAAAATGGTACTGTGATCTCTATGAGAGTTTATAAATACTTATAAGTGTTACACATATAGCTTACCTAGCCTGTGAGCATGATTTGAAAAATATATATGACTCTAGCCCTGGGCAGTTTTAACACCATGGTCAGTGTTATTGTCACTGCTCTTCATTAATGTTTCTGCTCATACTCAAATAGAATTTAGGGTCAGAGAAATTGTTATCAATATAAATATTCTCACTGTAAATCTTCATTAAATAGGCAGTTTGCTGGAAAAAAAAGGAAGTGAAAAAAAAAGTATTTTCTTCTATTACAACTTTCAATTACTTAAGTTAATGACTTTTTGAGTGTGCCTTATTTGTCATGCAAATAGTGAAGTGAAGCTACAGAATGTTTGCCAAATACTCAGACTAATGTTTCCTTCAGATTAAAATTGTAAGTCAACAGTTCAAAGTATTAAAATAATATTGCTTTCTTCTAGAAATACTGCTTTCAAAACAGTTTTTAGAGATGTAACACCATGCATAATGAGACAAAACCCGTAATATAAATTTAAAAATCACAGCTTATAAGTCATATTGAGAAACATATGTTTCACAGTAATTATGGCTATGTTCGTGATCTTATTTTTTATTTAATTTAGCATGACTACACCATGTTACCTCCTAAGGCTTTATGCAAATCAGAATGCTCTACATGTATTCCTATAATGTGTTCCTGACTTCCCAGTATGCAAACTTCTCCCTTGGTATCTTTAGCACTTTTCAGTATGGCTTGTCAAGATATGGACTTCATCATTGTTCCTTCTGACTATACAGTCCTTGTTCATTTCAATAACTTTTAACTTTGCTTCATCCTTTCTGAAAGTAAAAACAAAATCCTCCCAGATTCATATTGTATAGATATAGATAGAGCCTGGTGGGTTAAACCATGAACTGGCTCCCTATATGTCTCGGATACTTCAACTCTGACATCTCACTGCCAGAATTGATGACTCTATTCTTGTCCACCTATGAGTATGTGGTCCAGCTTGCCCTGATGTATTGTCCATAAATTAAAAGCATGAAAGGAAAAAAAAACAAGAAGAGTGGAAACCTCAAATGAGGGCCACAAGAGGAGTCCAGTACCAGAAAATCCAGCACCAAGATTTCACTAATGTTTTCCCTGAATGATAGATGAAACTGTCAGGTAACTTAACTCTCCAGCTTCTACCGAATACTGAAATATCAGATTTGGGTGGACTGAACCTATGAGTGCAGCCCAACATGTGCCTGGCTCTTATATTTAGAAGGGCCATGCAAAGTTTTTTAAAATCTTACCACTTTATACTGAGCAAAATTGAACTTTTTATTTGATATTTGATTGTGTGACTGTAATATATAAGAATTGATATTACTAACAATGGAGAGTGCAGCTGTGCATGGTAACCCATCAGCTTGAATCAGCTAAAAACTGGAAGATGATTGATTTCTATGCAGAGCTGCACCAGATTTTATACTCTCCAATTTCAGTAAATCAACCCCATAGTATTGTTAGTTGGTTCAGATAATTAGAAGGTACTCACTTTTACTTACATTTTCTCCTACTTACAGGGAATGTAAAATT